CAATTCAGCCCCTCTCGACAAAACCCTTGTTCGGACGATTCGCTGGCCAGGAACCAAGCAAGCCAGATGGTGGGAGCGTGTGCCGTGGTGAACGCCATGAAGGAGGCGGATTACACGTTCACAGGCAATCAGAATGAAGGGTAATCAGTGAAGACATCAGAGGCACATCATCAACAATCAGACAGACATTCCACAAACAGAATGTCCATCAAGGCCGGTTCATCATCACACATCAGCAGCGAGGGCAGAGGGCATTGATGGATGAGGAGGTTTTAGTGGAAGAGGCGCAGAGGTGGAAGGATCAGTGTGTGATATGTGCAAATGGCAAGCGGGAGTTTGACCATGAGCTGTACCAGTGTCCTCACGAGGAGAGCCAGGAGGCAAAGAGATGGATGATGACAGTGCGGAGCAAGATCAAATACACACAGTATTCCGGGTGCTTCCGATGCGGGATGCCGCAGTCCATATGCAACAGCTGGAAGACACAGAGGCAGTGTCCGTACAGGGGATTTTTGATCCCGACAGTGGCAATGATGATGTATGGGTGTCATGCAGGGCAGATGAAGCAGGCGTGGAGACAGCGGCTGAGAGAGTTCAATGTGGATGCAGATGATCAGGAGGCGGTGATTGAATTTTTGGGACAGAAGGTTGAGGGGCAGGGCATGGAGCACAACCGGCTGGTGGAGATGGTTTGTTGGCTGCGAGGGATATATCAGGAGGCAGAGAGGGGGAAGATCGAGTCAGAGGGTACAGAGGTCAAGTGATATCATGGGTGAGGGGCACATCACGGGTGAGAGGCACCACAGGAGGATGAAAGATGTATATATATATAAAGGCAGGTGAAGCAAGAGACAGAGGGTAAAGGGATATAACATCAAGAGAAAGTAGATCAGGTTCAAAAGATCAGTTTCAAACAGTATCATCCCATATGATAATGGATCAGGGTTAGGGTTACAAAGAGTGAGGGTAGAGGCTGGGGGGAAGGATGAGGTGGTCAGAGTCAGGGTTAGGGTTGAAAAAGAGTGAGGCTAGAGACAGGGGTGGGCAGTGAGGTCAGGATAGGCGGTTAAATTAGACGCCAACCCCGTTATCCCATTGAAACTCAAAGCCGTTGGGACACAAACCCGTTGGACGTCGAACCGGTTGGATGAGGAAGTCGAACACGCTGGACCCAACCCGTTGGACGTCAAACCCGTCCCAGGAGCGCATTAACCCGTTGGACGTCGAACCCGTCCCAGGAGCGCATTAACCCGTTGGACGTCGAACCCGTCCCAGGAGCGCATTAACCCGTTGGGAGTTGAACACGCTGGACCCAAACCCGTGGGACGTCAAACCCGTTGGACGTCAAACCCGTCCCCAGGAGCGCATTAACCCGTTGGGAGTTGAACACGCTGGACCCAAACCCGTTGGATGTCGAACCCGTCCAAGGAGCGCATTAACCCATTGGACCCGAACTCGTTGGATGAACCCATCAACCCGTTGGACGTCGAACCCGTTGGATGAGGAAGTCGAACACGCTGGACCCAAACCCGTTGGACGTCGAACCCGTCCAAGGAGCGCATTAACCCGTTGGAAGTCGAACACGCTGGACACAAACCCGTTGGATGTCAAACCCGTTGGACGTCGAACCCGTTGGACGTCGAACCCGTTGGACGTCGAACCCGTCCCAGGAGCGCATTAACCCGTTGGAAGTCGAACCCGTCCCAGGAGCCCATTAACCCGTTGGACGTCGAACCCGTCCCAGGAGCGCATTAACCCGTTGGGAGTTGAACACGCTGGACCCAACCCGTGGGACGTCAAACCCGTTGGACGTCAAACCCGTCCCAGGAGCGCATTAACCCGTTGGGAGTTGAACACGCTGGACCCAAACCCGTTGGATGTCGAACCCGTCCAAGGAGCGCATTAACCCATTGGACCCGAACTCGTTGGATGAACCCATCAACCCGTTGGACGTCGAACCCGTTGGATGATGGAAGTCGAACACGCTGGACCCAAACCCGTTGGACGTCAAACCCGTCCCAGGAGCGCATTAACCCGTTGGACGTCGAACCCGTTGGATGAGGAAGTCGAACACGCTGGACCCAAACCCGTTGGACGTCAAACCCGTTGGACGTCAAACCCGTTGGATGAGGAAGTCGAACACGCTGGACCCAACCCGTTGGACGTCAAACCCGTCCCAGGAGCGCATTAACCCGTTGGGAGTTGAACACGCTGGACCCAACCCGTTGGACGTCGAACCCGTCCCAGGAGCGCATTAACCCGTTGGGAGTTGAACACGCTGGACCCAAACCCGTTGGATGTCGAACCCGTTGGATGAGGAAGTCGAACACGCTGGACCCAACCCGTTGGACGTCAAACCGGTTGGACGTCAAACCCGTCCAGGAGCGCATTAACCCGTTGGACCCGAACCCGTTGGATGAACCCATCAACCCGTTGGACGTCGAACCGGTTGGATGAGGAAGTCGAACACGCTGGACCCAACCCGTTGGACGTCAAACCCGTCCCAGGAGCGCATTAACAGGTTGGACGTCGAACCCGTCCCAGGAGCGCATTAACCCGTTGGGAGTTGAACACGCTGGACCCAAACCCGTTGGATGTCGAACCCGTCCAAGGAGCGCATTAACCCGTTGGAAGTCGAACACGCTGGACACAAACCCGTTGGACGTCAAACCCGTTGGACGTCGAACCCGTCCAAGGAGCGCATTAACCCGTTGGAAGTCGAACACGCTGGACACAAACCCGTTGAACGTCAAACCCGTTGGACGTCAAACCCGTCCCAGGAGCGCATTAACCCGTCGGAAGTCGAACACGCTGGACCCAAACGCGTTGGATGTCGAACCCGTCCAAGGAGCGCATTAACCCGTTGGAAGTCGAACACGCTGGACACAAACCCGTTGAACGTCAAACCCGTTGGACGTCAAACCCGTCCCAGGAGCGCATTAACCCGTTGGGAGTTGAACACGCTGGACCCAAACCCGTTGGACGTTAAACCCGTTGGACGTCAAACCCGTTGGACGTCAAACCCGTTGGATGAGGAAGTCGAACACGCTGGACCCAAACCCGTTGGACGTCAAACCCGTTGGATGAGGAAGTCGAACACGCTGGACCCAAACCCGTTGGACGTCGAACCCATCCAAGGAGCGCATTAACCCATTGGACCCAACCCGTTGGACGTCAAACCCGTCCAAGAAGCCCATTAACCCATTGGACCCGAACCCGTTGGATGAGCCCATTAACCCGTTGGGAGTTGAACACGCTGGACCCAACCCGTTGGACGTCAAACCCGTTGGACGTCAAACCCGTCCAGGAGCGCATTAACCCGTTGGGAGTTGAACACGCTGGACCCAAACCCTATCCAACAGGTGGGGGTGGAATGGACGTCCATTCCATTCAGGGTTAGAAAACCGACCAATCAGAGCAGGGCAGATTGGACGTACATTCCATTTGGTTTCAGACGTTGAACGTCTAATCAACCACGGAGTCAATTGACTTCAAACTTTGCATGTAGGCCGTAGTGGATATGAAATACAACATATCCAAATCAAAAGCGATAATTCCGCCGGGAAGGGGTTACATTGTGGTGTCAAAGTCAATGAGTTGAGGTGCGATGTTTGATGGGGTAAGCCATCAACCCAACCAGACCCAACTAAATATCTATATTTTCACCCCAGGCAACGGAGCGGCGCAAAGCGGTGCAAGATCAACAAAGTAAATTAAAATAGCAAAATATATAAAAAAAATGAAAGGCTTCATTCTGGAGTGATTTTAAGCACAGAAAAACAAACATTAGTCGAACACGCTGGACCCAAAGCCGTTGGACGTCAAACCCGTCCAAGGAGCCCATTCACCCATTGGACCCGAACCCGTTGGATGAACCCATCAACCTATCCAACAGGTGGGGGTGGAATGGACGTCCATTCCATTCAGGGTTAGAAAACCGACCAATCAGAGCAGGGCAGATTGGACGTACATTCCATTTGGTTTCAGACGTTGAACGTCCAATCAACCACGGAGTCAATTGACTTCAAACTTTGCATGTAGGCCGTAGTGGATATGAAATACAACATATCCAAATCAAAAGCGATAATTCCGCCGGGAAGGGGTTACATTGTGGTGTCAAAGTCAATGAGTTGAGGTGCGATGTTTGATGGGGTAAGCCATCAACCCAACCAGACCCAACTAAATATCTATATTTTCACCCAGGCAACGGAGCGGTTAGGGTTACTAGATCAACAAAGTAAATAAAAATAGCAAAATATATAAAAAAACTGAAAGGCTTCATTCTGGAGTGATTTTAAACAGAGAAAAACAAACATTAGTCGAACACGCTGGACCCTAAGCCGTTGGACGTCAAACCCGTCCAACCAGGAGTCAGAGATGGAGAGCCAGCAGGGTGAAACCCACATCAGATTCAACAGCACATGCAGTCCCAGAATGGCCAGAAGTGTGAGCAAGAGCACAGACAACAACATAAATGAAAGCATCACCAAGAATGAGGCTTCAACTATCGCCTCGTCCGTAGGTTTGTGCAAAATTAGCGTGGTTTCATTAGTGTATATTATACGAGATCTCATTGAATAATCAGTGTATTTTTGAGTATTCATTGGTATTAGGGTTATATATAAACCCTAATTAAGGATCCGCGTAAATAGATATTAGGATATACTATGAAATTCCGCCCAACATTGAGTTTTCAAACATAAAAGGGTATTTTGACACTCTGAACAGTCAGAACTTGATCTCCCTATCTTTTTATATTTCTGCTGGCCAATCTTTCATTTATATTGACACCAGGCACAAACACGCTGCTTTGGAAGAGAAATCCGTTGATGATTTAGATTAGAATTTGATCATTCCCTTGATAGATTATCATGAATCCTAGATGTGAATTCAAAGAGTTCCTGGTAAAGCTTCTCATGAAAGCTTATATGAGAAGAAAGATCCTTCACTGAAATCCTCTGCTGCTTCATATATAGATATTGAAGCCGGTATGCATTAATAGCTGCGGAATCAATAAGTCAGTAGAGAATAGAAAGCCAGGTGTGATAGATGACTCTATGACTAGTATATGCTGCTCAGTATTGATTTGCTAGATGTACCCCATTCATATGATGATTATAATCACCTATAATCAATGGGATTTTCAGCTTCTTTTGTGATTGACCTTTAAAGACTTTTCTAACAATATTGACATTGATTGAGAGTTCCCCTGAGCATTTACAAGTACATTCAATAACTGCGTCCAATGAATGAATCGTAGTTAGTGCCAATACCATATTATTATCTTGCCAGGCAAGACAGAGAACATTCTCTTTTTCAATGACATGCAGAGTATTTCAGAGTATGGAATTTGAATGCTCTCAAAGCTCATCTAGTACTGCTGGAACCTGGTTTGAATGAGTGGTTCCACATGCTCCATACCCCTGTTGACGTAGTTCTTTGAATAAAGGAACTGATGTAAAGTAGTTATCCATTTCAATTGAATAGGATGTGACCAGCTGTGAGATAGAGATTTCATTAGATGTGGCATTCGGTGTAGCATTCGGGGGGGTGATATTCGGGTTGATATTAGGGCCAATATTATGGGTGATATTAGAGTCGATATTAGGGGTGGCATTCGGCATGGTATTCGGTGTATTCGGTGTGGATACCATAGAAAGCCGCTTCACCAGATTCACCACCATAGATTCAGTTTTGTTAACATAGAGAATTGAAACATAGACATTATACTTTGTTGACAGCTAGACCAGGAAAAGACTATAAATAGTCATGTTCTGCTAGGCCAAATATCTATATCCTCAAGGAATTGGTTTATTAGACATCTTGTATGTATGTTGACTCCATCCAAAATATTTAACCATGATTTCATCGATGGAAATCTTAGAGTCAGGGGTATAGTATTTTCAGCATGCCATATGAAACTTAGTAGCTAATGACTCAATATGCTTATACCATCAATTCTTATTTTGACCTCCGGGCGTGCGGGGCCTCTATGAATGGTTAAATAATATGGAATATATCATTTAAATTTGTTCATAACGCCTTATGGGGTCATATTCCAATTGAATTGGAATGGAATAGAGGCCTTGTATCAATTCAATGCTAGTCGTGAAAATCATTTCATGGGGAATTTAAGATTCTGTAAATAAAGAGAAA